CCTCCACGAGCATGCTCATCATCAAAATAAACACAAAAAATTAAATTCATTTAAAGACCCCTACCGCCCCCTGATACAAACCAACAATTCCAATTTCAGGAAACAAAAATTAAAAAATAAAATCAAACTCAACTAAAGACCCCTAGCGCCCCTTTTGCTTCAAGGAAATTAAAAGCAAAAATTCAAATTTTGTTTTTTTTTTTATATTAATTTATTTGTACAGGCTCAATCGAATAAACTTTACAGAGCCGAGTTATCATTTGCATTATACATGAATAATGTCTTAAATCTAGAGTTAAAGGAATTGAACCGATTACTCGCGGTCGTCTCGAGGTTAGTGGAGATTTACAATTTTTTGGATGGGGAAAGGGAGAAGGAGGTTTGAAATATGATTTATTATATAAATATTTAATTAATCCTAAAACATGAACTTATTTCTATTCATCTTGAAAACAAACATAATAAAAAAAAAACTACACGCACAATACACAAACTAAACACAAGGTTAATCAAACTTACAATCTAAGGTTAGTATTCTTAAAGTAAAAATTCAAATTTTCTCAAACATCACAAACGTCTTCAATTTGCATTAGTATCATTAAAAAGAAATAAAAAATAAATACTCTTAGCGTCCTATAATGCAAACCATTTATATTAAATGAAAAAATCAAAACGCCCTCCAGAAAAAAAAATATAGAAGAAAAAAATATTTAAAATCAAATTCAATTAAAGACCCCTAGCGCCCTCTGTTACAGCAGAGATATTTGAAATCACACATCCAATTTCCCCATTTTTCAAACGCCCTCCACGAGCATGCTCATCATCAAAATAAACACAAAAAATTAAATTCAATTAAAGACCCCTACCGCCCCTGATGCAAACCAACAATTCCAATTTCAGGAAACAAAAATTAAAAAATAAAATCAAACTCAACTAAAGACTCCTAGCGCCCCTTTTGCTTCAAGGAAATTAAAAGCAAAAATTCAAATTTTCTCAAACATCACAAACGTCTTCAATTTGCATTAGTATCATTAAAAAGAAATAAAAAATAAATACTCTTAGCGTCCTATAATACAAACCATTTATATTTAATGAAAAAATCAAAACGACTTCCAGAAAAAAAAAATATAGAAGAAAAAAATATTTAAAATCAAATTCAATTAAAGACCCCTAGCGCCCTCTGTTACAGCAGAGATATTTGAAATCACACATCCAATTTCCCCATTTTTCAAACGCCCTCCACGAGCATGCTCATCATCAAAATAAACACAAAAAATTAAATTCATTTAAAGACCCCTACCGCCCCCTGATACAAACCAACAATTCCAATTTCAGGAAACAAAAATTAAAAAATAAAATCAAACTCAACTAAAGACCCCTAGCGCCCCTTTTGCTTCAAGGAAATTAAAAGCAAAAATTCAAATTTTGTTTTTTTTTTATATTAATTTATTTGTACAGGCTCAATCGAATAAACTTTACAGAGCCGAGTTATCATTTGCATTATACATGAATAATGTCTTAAATCTAGAGTTAAAGGAATTGAACCGATTACTCGCGGTCGTCTCGAGGTTAGTGGAGATTTACAATTTTTTGGATGGGAAAAGGGAGAAGGAGGTTTGAAATATGATTTATTATATAAATATTTAATTAATCCTAAAACATGAACTTATTTCTATTCATCTTGAAAACAAACATAATAAAAAAAAAACTACACGCACAATACACAAACTAAACACAAGGTTAATCAAACTTACAATCTAAGGTTAGTATTCTTAAAGTAAAAATTCAAATTTTCTCAAACATCACAAACGTCTTCAATTTGCATTAGTATCATTAAAAAGAAATAAAAAATAAATACTCTTAGCGTCCTATAATGCAAACCATTTATATTAAATGAAAAAATCAAAACGCCCTCCAGAAAAAAAAATATAGAAGAAAAAAATATTTAAAATCAAATTCAATTAAAGACCCCTAGCGCCCTCTGTTACAGCAGAGATATTTGAAATCACACATCCAATTTCCCCATTTTTCAAACGCCCTCCACGAGCATGCTCATCATCAAAATAAACACAAAAAATTAAATTCAATTAAAGACCCCTACCGCCCCCTGATACAAACCAACAATTCCAATTTCAGGAAACAAAAATTAAAAAATAAAATCAAACTCAACTAAAGACCCCTAGCGCCCGTTTTGCTTCAAGGAAATTAAAAGCAAAAATTCAAATTTTCTCAAACATCACAAACGTCTTCAATTTGCATTAGTATCATTAAAAAGAAATAAAAATAAATACTCTTCGCGTCCCATAATGCAAACCATTTATATTTAATGAAAAAATCAAAACGCCTTCCAGAAAAAAAAAATATAGAAGAAAAAAATATTTAAAATCAAATTCAATTAAAGACCCCTAGCGCCCTCTGTTACAGCAGAGATAGTTGAAATCACACATCCAATTTCCCCATTTTCAAACGCCCTCCACGAGCATGCTCATCATCAAATTAAACACAAAAAAAAAATTCAATTAAAGACCCCTACCGCCCCTGATACAAACCAACAATTTCAATTTCAGGAAACAAAAATTAAAAAATAAAATCAAACTCAACTAAAGACCCCTAGCGCAAACAAACTATTCTAATTTTATTAAACATTCTAACAGCATCCAGAAGCATGAATGTCATCAAAGTAAAAAATATATAAAATTTAATCAAATACCCCTGGTGCCCTTCTGTTGAATCACACTTTCAAATTCCTTATTTTCCAAACGCCTTGCTGTTTTATGACATGAGTATCATCGAAGTAAAAACAAATTAAATTTAAATTAGATTCTCCTAGCGCCTCCTGTTGCTTGTTGTAATTTAAAAATAAAATCATCTTTTTTAATTCCTCCGTCGAATTTGCTTTTGCTTAACATTTAGAAAATAAATCAAGTTTTTAAAGATCGTTTTGTGTAGAGGCATTTAAACTAATCTTACAATTTTGTTAAGCACTTCATGATTGCCTACGGCGGCTGTCTCAGAGAACTTAGGTTTTTTTTGTTCACCTTGCTGATGCATCACAAGAAAGGTGTGTGTTATGTTTATGGACTTTTGATTTTTTTATAATGTGTATGAAAACAATAAGAGGGCGTTAACAGTAAAGGTCTAGCATGAGGAGCATCAGGAGGGCGCATAAGGTATGAAACACAAATCATTTGGGGGGGCCATGGCCCCCCCTGGCCCCCCCTTGCGCACGCCTGTGACGGTGAGTCGGTTTAAAAATCGCGGCGAGTGCTACTAGTTGCCAATACATATACGCAAGACGAACCGTGGAAATATCAAAAGGAAGATAAGTGACACGGTAGATGATGTAAAAGATGGCAGTGGTTATGAATTTTCAATGTACGGGAATATCCGAAAGCTTCAACTTAATCTTCCCGGAAAATTAACCACTCCGATTTTTTTTTAAATTTACTTTTCGCACACAATGGGCATAGAATTTTGGAAAAGAACCCCCTTTTATTTTATTATAGTCACTTCAACATTCTTGGATCATTCGTAACTAATGAGATTTGAACTTGTGACTTTGGTTCTAGAGGTATGAATCTAACTATGCCGGGATATTCCGTCAATTCCTCATTTTGTGAAGCCTTATTTTAAATTTTATTTTATTTATTACCCTTCATCTACAATATTACTAATACAGGGAAAATTTAGTATTGCAAATGCACTGCGAATCTTTCCCTCAAAGTAAAAAAATAATGTTAATATCACATCAAGTGGATGCACTTCAATCGTGTCGACAATATGGTGTAATATTACTTGCCAAAAAGGACAAAATTATCATTAATACAGAGCATGAACTGACATTACGCTGCTTCTACTGATTTTTTTTTGTGGCCATAACAATTACATGAGATGTTTGCCATGATTAAAGTGCATCCTCTTGGATGTAATATTAAAATTTATTTTTTGCTGTGCTGGATTAGTAATGTAGTAATGAACCTGATTTTGGCAGCTCCCTTTTCTGAAAATATTATAGAATACTGTTTGAAACCCATGCTATTTTTCAGGGGTCTAATTGCAGAGAAAGAATAAAATTAGAAAGATTTTGAGTTACGGCTAAAATTAAAATGATTGACCTATAAGTCTGATGCGTGGAGAGGCTGATAAAATATGTTCATTACTGTAACTGGTATATGTGATTTCGCAGATCATTACTCCTGTCTAATACCCACAGCTTAGCAGAAATCGAGAGCTGAAATTTTAAGTAATAGTGGAAATCGTCGTGTTTGTTTGATTGCGTAGGATTTTGTTGTAAGTCAACATGTCATATTTTACTGTTGTTCAATGTCACAAAAGTCTATAAATTCGCCGAATCTTGTGAATAAAATACAAAAAATTCTAGCCCGCCAACTGATGTGCATTTCGACATTTGGGCCGGTAATACATTTCCAGTAATAGCCGTCACATGGCTATAGTAATCCTCAGGAAAATCCCACTGCAGTATACACCTTTTCATCAGCAGTCTTAATGTTAAGCTCAAAGTCCACTCGGTTTTATCTTTCCATTGAAGCTTCCCCATATTTCATGAGTCATTTTAAATGATAAACTCTGATGTCCGCATGTGCAGGTTCAAAGTCCACTATCTACAAACCTTGACGTTTGAACCAAACTGGAACCACTTTTCGATACGATTTGTACTCCGGTTCTAATCATTTTCTAAAATTCTCCACCAGTTCAGGCAACTTCAAACTAAACCTACGCGGTCCGTCGTCAAATCAATACTGAATTCGGCATGAGTCCGATGTTTTTCGCCTGACATAAACGACGATAACGTTAATCAAGTGATAACACTTTATTCCGCGCCAATGAGCGGTGTTTTATCTAACCTAATCCTCATCGCTGCTGGAACGGATAAAACATTCGCTGGTTATATATATATAGTCACGGATCGTGCAGGGATTTGTTGGATTATTTCGGTTGCATACGCGAACACTTGAAGATGGGGATTTCCAAATTTAAAAAATGTCGCATTTATTTCTTATCAATGCAAGTCCATTTCTAGCGGTAGCTGCTGCACTACGCCTTCATTGTCGCATACGTTGCTGGCAATTTGACTCATCATATCACAGTATGGCACAAAATCTCCGGAATTAACCTGTCTAATGTTTAATCGCACACGTTCACTTGCCTGTGGAAGATTAAGCGAAGGTTGAACAATTTCGTTTCATGTGGATCGTGAAATGACCTACCTCAACACACCAAGCTGTTGTCATTAGAATCTCATGCTCTGCAGATGGTAGATCATTTTCAATTGCTCTGGACGCCCGAGATAACGCACAAACCATGGCGTAGATATCGATAGCACTATCAGCCAATCGTTTCAAAACAAATTGCATTTCTACGATACCTTTTCCATGCCTGACCAATGCTGATTCAACTGCTATCGCGAGCATATCTGCACTATCGGCACACATTTTAGCCGAATCTTTCAGTGGAGCCGCCACATAGGCGCTCATATCATTGCCATACTTTACTCCAATGGTTCGAGCAGCTCGTCGGGATCCTTCCTCGAAAATAATTCCCAAGTTTCCTATTGGATTCTGAAGTGCTCTTTGAATTTCCCTCAAGTGCGATCCTGCGTATTGGATTCCTGTAAGTGCCACAAACATCCTCAGCACATCGTTAGCTCCTTCGAAAATTCTAAACACTCGAATGTCCCGGAGGAACTTCTCCAACCCAGTAGATTTCATGAAACCGTTTCCACCGAGAATCTGAATCGCTTCATCGCAGACGGTAAACGCTGATTCCGAGGCAAATATTTTGGAGATTGTCGTTTCCATTATAAAGTCTTTGTAGCCTGCATCCATGTTTCCTGCCACCATGAAGGCCATCGATTGCGTCACGTACTGGTACATTGCCATGCGCGCAAGCTTTTCTTGGATATTTCCAAACTCTCTCAGTTTCCGTCCAAACTGTACTCGGCCGTTGATGTGTTCGACTGCTTTCTGGATGCAAATTCGCATCGTTCCTGCCATGGTACCCGCCATGCCAAATCTTCCGTTGTTCAAAATATTCACCGCTACTTTGAAACCATCACCTTCCTTGCCAAGAACGTTCTCGATTGGCACTTTGACATCATCAAAGTACACCTCGGTAGTGTTGGAGATGGTTATACCCATCTTGTTTTCCGGTGGTCCACTGGTAACGCCGGAAAATCCTCGTTCAACAATAAATGCGGTAATCTTATCTTTCATCGTTGCCGTTTTATCGTCTAATACTTCCGTTCGGGCGAAGACTGTGTACACATCCGCAATGCCTCCTCCGGATATCCAGATTTTGGTTCCATTTAGAGTGTAGTACTTTCCGCATCCACTTTTGACGGCCCTGGTCTTGACTGCACTAACATCAGAACCAGCTCCCGGTTCGGTTAAAGCAAAAGCGGAAAAGTTTCCTCCGCTGGTAACTTGTGGTAAGTACTTCCGTTTTTGTTCTTCCGTTCCGTACATCAAGATACCTTTATACCCGATACTTTGATGAGCTCCTATTATCACCCCTAAGCCCAAATCAACCTCGCCAACTATATCTCCTAGGTGGGCGTAGGTTGTGTTGGTCATTCCTAGGCCACCGTATTCTTCCGGTGCCAGCATTCCGAAAAGACCCATTCTCCACATTTCATCCAACGTAGCCGGATTTGCCTCACCAATCCGTTCCGCTTCGAGTGGGTCGTGCTCCTGGCGTAGAAAACGGTACACTGGGTCCATGACTGTGTGGATGAGATCCTTTTGCTCGTCGGATTGCTCGGGGTAAGGAAACACCTGAATAGGTTCAATTTCACCGCGGAAAACGTTCGACATGAAGGAAGTGTTCGTGCGGCGCGTTTCAGGGCGTACGTTCTCGGTGGTTCCTTGACGAATGGACCGATCTTTCGGCTCTTCTTTCGGTTGAGCCGAAACTGTCAACCGCCTAGATCAATGAAATTTACTGAAAATTAGTGGGATCTTTTTCTGGTAAAGGCCTGCTTACCTTGCCAACGGCATCAACTGGCAATGGGTGCCATTACGGCTGATGAAATGTATTCCTAGGCGAATCATGACCAACAGAATCAACGTCCACCACGGTGTGAGCTTGGTGCACCGACTGAGCCCAATTGACTCCCCGAAAGTTCATTTATGTAGGCTTGCACCTTGGAAGGGTTTATTGCACCTGTATTAAGGCTTTGAGCGAAAGATAACTTTCACTGAATGTACCAGCAGTATGTACCTAATTTTATCTAAACGTGACTTTTTTTTCGCTTATCTATCCTATGACGCAAATACATCAAATACATTGATTCAAGAAATTTCTTTTTGTGTGGATTTGAAATGCATAATGTCATTATGACTCGTGCAAAGCTTGTTTTAAAAATAATTTACCCGATGCAAAATCGTCGTTCGCTCAGCGCTTTATCTTAAAATCGCGCATTTTTTTTAATCTATTAATTTATCATTAAATGAGCTGTTTATCCACTAATTGTTTTCGTCCCTTGTTATTTTTTTATTGCAAACCCACCACCCAAACCTATTTGAGTGATGTACGACACAAAAAGAAAATATAATTTGGATCAGCCTAATTAAGATAAATTTATATTTCTAGCGTTCAAAATCATCAGGGCCTAACTGTGATGGTCGATTCTCTTCATCGATTTTCTCTTTTGTTAATAACTCGGTAGTATTAACATTTCTCGGTGCGTTTTTTGCTGGCTTATACAACCACTTCAACTATCACATTTTATTACCATGCCAATGCGATCACTTCTCGAAATCTTTGCTTGCGTCATTTTAAATATCGAAAATGTCGGGAAAGCAGATTTCGCTCGTCGTAAGAAATTTGGTGATTCGCGATCGTGAAAAGGGAATTCCTTTTCGGAAAATTGCTGAAATGTACTCGATTTTGACTGGAGCTGTACAGCACATATGAAAAAAAAAAATACGAAACGTGAAGAATAGTGAGATATTTATCCGATCAGGGACGTCATCGTGATGACATCAGGATTATTCGAATGGCTAAGCAAAATTCGAAGTTTTACATCGAGGGCTATTCTGGAATCGATGAACCTCAATGTTTTTTTTTTCCTGTTCGGGACATGAAACTACTGCGACCAGTAATTTGATCTATTGGGGCCTCCCTTAGCTCAGTCGGTAAAGGCGCAGCTACAAAACAAGACGATGCCCGAGTGGAGGTGGCTAGGTTCGATTCCCGGTCCGGTCTAGGAATTTTCCGGGTAGGAAAATTTCTCGACTTTCCTGGGCATAGAAGTATGATTGGACTTGCCACACAATTATACCAATGCAAAAATGGTATAGGCATCGAAAGCTCTCAATTAATAACTGTGGAAGTGCATCTAGAACACTAAGTTGAGAGCACGCAATAAGCTAATATGCAATATGCAATAAGCTTGAAATGCGAAGAAGAAAAAGAAGTATATCCCGTGTCCTTAGTTTAGTGCATGTCGTATTACTCCATCACTATTGAGAAATGATGAAGTATTCGGTTTTGATACAGTTGTTGTTGTTGTGTGAGGGGCGCCGGTGGTGTAGTGGTAAGCGTGATTACCTCTCACCCTAGCAGGCCTGGGTTCAATCCCAGTCGGTGCCGCCGGGATGTTCTGAGGCATAACATCTCTGATCACGGGGGGAGGGAAGTAAAGCCGTTGGTCCCCGGTTCATGAGTTGATGGGTCGATAGGTATGGTCCAGGTGTGGGAGCTGCATCGGTAGCATTGGTGCTCAGCACGGAAAACAAGATCGACGGAAAATAAATCAAGGGAAAAAAATACAGTTGTCATTCTTGCCTTTATCGCAAGGAATCGATTCTAATTGAAAGGTCCCGCTATTTATACCCTTCGGAGTGTTGGAACACCCTCCAAAGGTGCGCTCCTTTGTCAGTCAAAATTGGCAAAAAAGCGTAATTGATTGCAAAACTGGATCAAATGGTTTTTGAATCTGAATCTCGAAACACTGCTTCTAAATCTCGAAACACTGCTTTTACTTTTGAAAGTGGTTTGTTGTCAAATATACTCGGAGGACGAATTAGTATTCCTTTTTTCCTTGCAACTTCACTTGCAACATTTTTAAATCCTCCTACTCCGTGATTAATGTTATCTAAATAACCTGATTTGTTTACAATTTTTTGATCACTAGCTCTACCTGTAAAGCCCTTCGAAATAAAGTTAATCATACCACACGGGGTACAAAAGACCGCATACTTAATTTGTAATACAAGACTTATACTGAGAATATGTAATTGATTGCAAAACTGGATCAGATGGTTTTTGAATCGGAATCTCGAAACAAACGATTACGCTCTGAATATTACTATACTTATTCAAAAATGCTACCGGAAGAAACTTCTTCATTAGATCGGATTCTGGCCAAAATATTAGCTCTTCCATTTCTCTAGCAATTTTAGTGACACAATTGTTAAAATTTTTAGACAATATAGAGAAGCTTAAACTGAAAAAATCTTGCACAATTTCAAAGGATTTGCTTAACTTAATTTTAGGTAGAAATACCATGAGATGTTTGCTGTTTCACATAGTGCTTCTACCACAAAAACATTATCTTTTCTTATGCCAAGGTATTTAAACGATTGATCCCTCATAACATTAAAATTATGCTACATAAATAGTGACACATCGTCAGTGATACCTGATTCCTTGAACAGATCAGTCACCCCTATTCTGTATTTCGTTTCGAACGAAATTCTCATACAAAAAAATATTTTTTTGTATGAGAATTTCGTTCGAAACGAAATACAGAATAGGGGTGAGTATCTCTATGTTGGCTTGGTATATAGCTGCTTTCACCTGAGCCCATGGATTCAAAACTATTTGAAACTAAAAAAATAATACGTTAAAATAAGCATATAACTGTATTAACGAAACTAGTGTTCAGAATCATAAGGGCCCAACGGCAATGATCGATTATCTTTGGTTAATAACTCGGAAGGATTAACGTTTCTCAATTCGATTGCTGTATTGGAAAATTTTCAGGAAATTTGCCTTCTTCACTGTAGTAATCCTAAGAGAAAATCGATTAAGAGAATGGATAATCGCAGTTAAGCCCTTATAATTTTGAACGCTAGAAATATGTATTCAAAACATGAAATGTTTTGTCATAGAACTACTTGTAATAATTTGACTTACTTGCCACGTGAGACATCCATGGTTTGAGACGATTATGTAAGTCATCGGTTTGGAACTGCGATTCTCACTGTCAGTTAAAACACCACTGTCTACAAACTGCGGGCGTTTACTTTCAAACGATGCTTCTCCGTCACTTTGCCTCTTATGCCTTGTTCAGACTGGATAGTTATAACATGTTATAACGATTGTCAAATAATTGCAACACAGAGACCACCATCAAGATAGCGCTATAACATGTTATAACTCTGTAGTCTGAACGTACTATTACGCTTTTGGACGGGTGGTGTTATATTTAAATCACTATCATTCGAATAATTTGTTGATTCTATAGAGCATACGGGTAACGTAAGTGGATCTTTGTCAGGCATCATTTAGACATATTTTTCAGTCCTCGATTGATGTGGTATGTTCTTGTGTGGTAAAACGTCTTTAATTAATGAATCTTTGAGAATAGCTTTTAGCTTTGATTTTTACGACTCGATAATCTGACGTCTGGAATTTCGAACATCTTCTATAGATACAAATAAGTATTAATCTAAATGTTCATACTCACATCAAAGTGCTTCTGGCAAACATACAACAATTTGTGCAAGTACTGTTGGTAATGGGTTTTTTTAGCATAAACTCTGCACTGTTGTAACCACACTCTGCGCAGATCATATTGCTTCGGCATCGGGAATAACACTAAATCCGGATAGACACTTCTATTGGATGAAATTACAGAGCACTCTATTTTATTGGGAGCACAACAAATTTTAATGCATCTTGAAAAGAGCTTTGCGAACAGTTTTTGGGTTGCGAAAATGAACAAAAACAAGAAGACGCTGTTTTCAAAACAAACAAAATGTCATTATGAGATCATGGTGCATCTGTTCAACAGTGTTACCAACAATCAATACGAAACTTATGATTTTAAATTGGCTCACTACTTGACCTGCCTATTGGTCCCAAGCAAACGATTAACGTACCCCATTCTAGTCGAAATTCTAGTACTACGCAATGTTTGTTTTGATTCGCTATGAAAGTTTGACAGATAAAATGAGGGGTTATTGGTTTTTCCTATGTTTCGAGGGGTGAATCGCTTAGCTTGGGACCGAAGAGAGTACCAGAGCTGAGCCAAAAAGTTGAGCACGTTATTTCGGGACCTTCTAGTCTTAGAGTTACCTCTATGGTATTACCGTTCATTAGTGGTTTGTTCATAAGGTATCGTCTTACCAAAAAACTATTATTTTTAATTTTAAACAACTATTTTTTTAGTACTTTCACTATTTAAATTTTAAAATGTCTTTGGGTTATGGTTTACTGGCATCATACCCTATATACCCTTAAATAACCCAATTACAGTGGTTTAAAGAGCTGTTTGGCGTCGAAGCGTCCTTTCATCATCAAACAGAACGGAAGCGGATATATGTAGGTTTCTGAAAAAGAGTTCTGTTTACGGATGAGAGCAAATTTGAGTTGTTTGGACAGCGAACGTACGGGACTGGTGATCACCAATGACAACAGTAAGATAGCGATCGCTGAGGTACGACTGAAACCATTGCAAAAGGCAGCCGTGGATATCAAACTTGTCTAGTTTTGAGATTGATATGCGGTGATTCAATTTACCGAAAGCAGCAGCAGATATCTGTATGAGTACGATCCGACATACTGTTAGAGATGTAGGAAGTAAGGCACAGCAAGTTAGTGGCAGTGGGGCGAACAGCCATGAAACCATGTTGGTCGATACATATATAGGGCTTACAGTGAGCGAGTAATGGTTCCACAACAACGAGTTCGAACAATTTAGCAACAGCGCTAAGCGAAGTGATACCACGGTAGTTGCCAAGGTCCTGTTTGTTGCACTTCTTGTGTATGGGAAACATGTGCGCTAGCTTCCAACAGGATGGGAAAACGCCGACGTCCACGGATCGTTGAAAAACGGGCAGCAGTGGAGATAACAAACTGTCCAAGTGCGGATTGTACGACGAATTGAGTTTCCTGGAAAACATCTCAGGATTTATGTCAATTCTTCTCATGGTTTGGCCAGAGAGTGGTACGTAACTGGCAGCCAGTCGGGCATTGGCTTCACTCAGTCTCTCGTCCGTGAAAACGCAAGCAGATTTTTCAGAGAATAGATGAGGCCACGTTACCATTATGTATCATAGACGACGGCAGACCAGCTTCATGACGTTGTTCGTTGACAAACTTCCAGAACTGCTTGGGACGTGACTTAAGCTTTCCCTGCAATCCACGCCGATACAGAAGAAAGCACCGTTTCGCAAATCGTTTGTATTCGTGATTGATCCTGCCGTAGTGACGTTGAAGGGATAGTGTGCGATGCTTGGCGAGGGGCACGCTGTACTCAGGACCAGTGTGTCGGATTTAAAATTCAAGCAAAAGTATTTATTGTAATTAATGCATTTCAATGTTGTAATTAAAATAATGCAAATTGTTTTGTCGTATTTAACGTGCTTAAAAGTACACTAAATGTAATTAAATGTACTAAAAATGTAGTTAATGGACTTAATTAAGAAATTACGACTGTAATTAATGAACTTAAAAAGTAGCATGGTGTATCCTTTAAATTTGTCGGACCTCTTAACGGAATCCCTTTATGAAGAGCTTTAAGTGGGTTGGTTTATTTCCTTTAAATACTTGCAGACTTCATCAGTGCCAAGTGGTGTTGAGTACTTGGCACTGATGAAGTCTGCAAGTAGTAGACGAAATACGCGTATCTGTCAAAAGATAAGCAATTATAACGGAATTTAAAGGAAATAAACCAACCCACTCAAAGCTCTTCATAGCATGGTGTAGTCAAAGTAATTAAAGCTGTAATTAATAAAATTAATTTAATAACATCACTTGCCTACGTCGGAATTAAAGGTTGCCCTTCGGGACAATCATGCACATTTTGCCAATTTGCCGGGGTCGGCGTCTTTGACCATTTTCAATCATTTATAGCACGAAAACGTCACTTTTGATCAAAAAGATGTCTGAGATAAAGTGGGGATGTCTTTTTGGGGAAAATATAAACGGTATTTTTTTAAACTAATTTTGATTAAAAATTCCAAAAAAGTGTTTAAAACTCAAATAACACAGCATATTTTCAATATTTAAATTTTTTTTTATTTACCCATCATTCATTTGACCCGTTTGTGGTCTTAATGAATAGTTAAATTTATGCACAAGACAAGAACATTACAAAAAAAAAAAATTTCTAAACTAGACTACAGTACTTTCCCGTTTTTGTCAGCCCCATCTGAAATTTCATAAAGTGACGTCGGATATGGATTCCCGGCCATCTCTGCGAAAAGTGCTGCTGGTGCCTTTATTGAACAGCCTCGCCAGAGCTTCTAGCAGAATGTGCCCTCTTGCGTTGGTACATCTGTTTCCCCACTCCACTGCCTAAGCATTGAAGTCTCCTCCAATGACTACCGATCTTTGTCTAATCAGCTCTTCGGTAAGTCCAACCAGCGTCTCGTGGAACTGCTCCATCATCCATCGGGTGCGTAGCAAATTCATATGAATATTCCGTTAATTTTGACGATCACGAAACCTTCTTCTTGAATAGGGTATCTGCCCATAACTTGTATTGCAGCCATCTCAGCTCTATCCGCCACCAAGTTAGCATTATTGGGAGCGACTCGATAAGGCTGTGCAGTGTCGCAATAATGTAGGTTTATTTGAGTTACCTCTGTTATTGTTGGGACAAAACAATTTAGTGTCATTTGGAGCGAAATGCATGAGAATTCATGCCTAAAAATCAAAAAGTTCAGCAAAATCTGCTGGCTGACAAAATCGGGACAAAGCTGACAAAATTGGGGGTTGACAAAATCGGGAGCTGACAAAATCGGGAACGCACTGTATTACAAAAAGCTATCGCCTTAAAGAGAGTAGTTGTTGAAAGGTTCTTACGGTCAAGTTGAAGTCAAACAATGCAAAACGTCGATAAAAGCACTTCACATAAATCTAATGGGGTCATGTTGTCCATATTGAACATTTCGCGAACCAAGATGAAAAAAATCCCGCTGGCGTAGTCTCCTCTCTGTTGCGTACATCATCATGCGGGGCATCAATTTCTCCTTTCAGCATTTTCGCCACGAAAATCGCTTGAGCGATGGAGCGTCGTCGTTCTAGCGTCTCTAGTCCAAGAAGATGGCAACGTTCCTCATAGGTTGGTAAGTTTGATGGATCATTCCACGGGAGAGTGCAAAGTGCGTATCGAATGATTCAATCCTAGCATTCCAACTGGCATGATACGGGCACCAGGCAACCACACTTGACTCCAAAATTGATCGTACCAGCGAGCAATATAGGGATCGTAAGAGTGCGACTAGTTAGGTACGATCTGAACCAAGTGACAAAAGCAGGAGACATACCAATTTTTTCCAGTCTAGCTAGTAATATCCCATGGTCAACACGATCGAACACAGCTTTAAGATCCGTATAAACAGCGTCGACTTGGGCACCAGAATCCATCCTACGCAGACATGTGGAGAGGAACTGAACTAGATGCGTTGAGACATACCGGTTTGGGAAGAATCCCTGTTGTTCAGTGGAAATGTAGTGCTGGCAGCTGGCAACCAAAGCATCATTTACAATGATCTTGAACACCTTCGAACTAGCACACAGCGATGTGATTCCACGATAGTTTTCAGTATCAGCCTTATCACCTTTCTTGTGGACGTGGAATTTACGTTGCTCTAAGGAAGCATTGCATAAAACAGTCAATGAGTAGACAAGAGCATCTGTACATCTTTTCAATATACATACAAGCGGGAATTCCGTCGGGACCAATAGAGTATGAAGGTTTCAATTTGTCTATGGCTGCTTCAACATGATGCGTTGAGATTTCGAAGGTACTGAATTCAATTGCATCTCTTGGAGAACCATCGAAAGCAGTAACTATTTGCAAGTCCGATGCCACTGAGCTATTAAAAGCAGCCTTGAAGTGTTATTTAAAAAAATACATTTTTACATTAGCGTACTAGCAACAATCAATACGAAACTAACGATTTTAAATTGGTTCACTACTTGACTAGCCTATTGGTCCCAAGCAAACGATTAACGTACCCCAGTCTAGTCGAAATTTTACTACTACACAATGTTTGTTTTGATTTGCTATGAAAGTTTGACAGATAAAATGAGGGGTTAGTGGATTTTCCTAGGTTTCGAGGGGTGATTCGATCAGCTTGGGACCGAAGAGAGTACCAGAGCTTAGCCAAAAAGTTGAGCACGTTATTTCGGGACCTTCTAGTCTTAGAGTTACCTCTATGGTACTAGTGCTCGTGTCTTTGAGACGCATCTCCACAGGCAATCCATTTTCTTTCCTTTTGGAATTACCGAAAGAACAAAACCGCTTCGAGTTCCTACTAAGGCTGTTCTGCGTCCAAATGACGTATCGTTTATAAAGAAAAGAAAAATAAATTGTAATTTAAAAAAAAGCTCATTAGGATAGACGCTACCTATCGACCCATCAACACATGCACCGGGGACCATCGGGTTTACTTCCCTTCCGAAGGAAGGTGTTATCAGAGATTTGAATTCTGACGGCGCCGACTGGGATTGAGTAAGAGGCAGTCACGCTTACCACTACCCACTACACCACCGTCGCAACTAATTTTTAAACTTCTGGTTAGCAGGCTTTTTTATGTAATTATTTTTCATGAGGTTTATTTTATTAAAATAATAATATTGTCGCGCTTATGTAAAATTCTCATTTGGTTACGGTCGAAGCGCGCTGCTCATAAGCGCGATGCAACCCCGCCCATAAGGATTATACACAGGTGTGTAACTTTGATAAAATTTTATGGCAGCAGCTTGAGGAGCGAATCCTGGATAAAAAGCCGCCGTGTGTTAAATCAACGGCCGCAGTCGTTCGGCGATGAACATAAAACAGATGGTATAATCCTTTTTTGAGAAATTATCCTGCCACACACAATATATTGGGGAAATGGATGTAATGTCGGACTAAATGCTCCTAATTTGGGCCCATACATAAATTCAGCAATCGACTAAATTTTCAATAGCGACCAAAAATATCCATTAGTATCGTCCCAATGACGTTTTTTTTTTAATTTCATTCAATATAGTTCCCTTTTAGCTCGATACACTTAATACAGCGGTTTTTTAACTTCATGATCCCGTCCGGAAAGTAATTTTTCAGAAGGTCTGCAAAATACTCCTCCGCGGCGTCGATGATTTCCTCTCGTGAGCTGATTTTTTTTTATTGATGAGCCATCTTTTGGGAAGAGATAATAGTCTGAGGGAGCCAAATCGGGCGAAAACGGTGGATGCGGAAGCAATTGGAGCCGTAAGTCATTGGAAATTCATCTAACTTGACCAGTAATTTGGTTTCCAAAAATTATGATAATTAATCTCAAGAGAGCTTCGTCATTGAAAAAATGACAGGAATGCGTCTCATGATAGCTATAGGACCTGTTATGTCATTCTCACATGACGGACATGATATTTACCAGCAATGTCCATAACACACAATTATGCAAAGTCGGAGAAGAAGGAGTTTGTCCGATTCGTCATTTGGCGTGGAACTGATCAGGGAGGATATTGAACTTTCTTGAACCATCGTAGCACAAAAGAAGTACTTTGCCACTGCATCATTATCTATTATATGACGCAAATACATCAGAAACTGCATTGATTCAAGGAATTTCTTTTTGTGTGGATTGAAAATGCATAATGTCGTTAACGCTGATGCAAAGTTTAATTTTAATTTATGTCACCTTTTAAAATGTTGAAGGAGTAAAACAATGATATACTCTATTCAAAATCGTCTTTCGCTCAGCGCTTTATCTTAAAACTAAACAATTTTTTTATTAATTTATTAATTTATCATTAAATGAGTTGTTCATCCACTAACTCTTTTCGTCCCAAGCACTTTAGTCCACCTCCAAAGGATTCGTGTGAGCCGGTCCTTGATGGCTGCAAATGTTCGACGCAATCAGCGACATCCTCTTGTAGTTATCCAGGAACACTCCGGAATGAATCCGCTGGATGTTTTGTTCCACTCTGTAGTTAGCCTGTGGATCGAATGGAAAGTTTCGGTTACATTTCTCTTCGTTCATGCACGGTCAAATGAGCGTGTCGAACAAACCTCAGTGCACCATGTCTGAGTCATCAGAATTTCGTGTTCGGCAGATGGTAGACCTTTCCGGACGGCCCGGCTTGCACGAGATAATACACACGCCATGGTGTAGATGTCAATGGCCGCGTCAGCCACTCGGGCCAAGAGGAACTGTCGCTCCACGATGTCCTTACCGTGCTTAATCAGCAGGGATTCGATGGTTTGGCTGAAGAGGTCGATGCTCTGTGTGGAGAAAAACTAGTTATTAGGGTTTTAAAATCAAGACATTTTACAAATTTGACCAAGAACCGTTCTTTGAAGCTCTGCGCCCTCTGTTATATATGCGCTCCATTTAAAACAACGATTTTAGCCCTTTTGCATGGATTTTTATCCGTGCCATTATCGCTGACTAAATAAGCTATTACTAAATACATTCCTATACATATTACTATTAAGAGCGAATGGATTTGAGACGGGTGGGGCGCGCACATCTTAGTGACCTGCCATGTATAAAAATACGCTACAGGGGAGGGTACCTTCTTTAAACCCCTTCCCCTTGTAGTGCATTTTTCGTATTATTTTTTTATTTCTGCTTCTTCCCTTACAGAACCATAATTTGTTTGAAAAAGGACATCGTTCGATATTTTGGGCTTAACCCCTTGCGCCACCTTTAAATGATAACGAAAAATGCTCAATTTTTCATATACACTGAAACCTCCATTTACGAAGTCTTTTTTACGCAGTATTCAGTTAACTTAACGTCCCACTTTTGACGAAGTAAATCCCAAATAACGAGGTTTTTTTTTTACGAAATAGCGATTTTCTTTTTGCCATTGTGGGAAACTGGGAAATACTGTGAAATACCTCGGAGTGACGTGTAAGGACCGGAAATCCATGTCTGTTGCCATTTTGATATCCAAAACCTCAATTCCATTTTGTAAAAAAACCCTTGCAAGGTAATTTTGTCGCGAAACAAATGAAGTCCGCCAACGTAAACCAACAAAATGAACAGGTAGGGGGATTCTCCTCTACCCGATTGTATTTTAGGTTCGCGAATGTAGGTTTCGGTTCACGAAAAAATGGCCTTACAAGGTTTGTTCACAAAATGGAGTTGAGGCTTTTTCAATTGTTGGTCTTGAACTGGGACCGGAAATCCAAGATGACGACTTCTGGTGCAATACTGTCAAATACTCCATTACTGGGTATTTTTGGAATCCTTGTCTGACGCCATTTTAAAATCCAAGATGGCGGCTTTCCGATACAGAAAAAAACATAAATATGCTGTCAAATACCTCACAATATTGATATTTTTACAATCGGGGTGACGTGTAGAAACCGAAAATCCATGTCTGATGCAATTTTGATCCAAGATGATGGTTTCTGGTGACTGTTTTTTCCTTTGATTTGTTTTCCGTCGATCTTGTTTTCCGTGCTGAGCACCAATGCTACCGACGCCAGGGAGGCAGCTCCCACACCTGGACCCTACCTATCGACCCATCAACCCATGAACCGGGGACCAACGCCTTCCTTCCCGTGATCAGAGATGTTATGCCTCAGAACATCCCGGCGGCGCCGACTGGGATTGAACCCAGGCCTGCTGGGGTGAGAGGTAATCACGCTTACCACTACACCAACGGCGCCGCTCAGTGACTGGTTTGAAAATTAATTAATTTCTGATGCCAAAGAGTAATAATCGCATAAAGGGTTGGCATTTAAAGTTCTTTTCGTTTTGGATGACGCCTTCAGTCAATTCAGAATTGGACACTTGGTCAAACTACACTCCGACGAAACACTATCTGTACTGGCAGCAAAGAAGGTTTTTACAATCCGATATTGTGTCCAGTTTGTTGGGATCACATGTTCTGTAGTTAAAAATTGCACTCTCAATCAGTGCTGATCAAAATCATTTCATCTACACTCAACATAGCTGAAAATGGAGACAACCTTAACAGATAGACCAACTATCTGCATGAATTAGAATTTTGACATAACAGCATTCCCTTGATCAAGGCAACCTCTGAGTATCGAAGTCATCATTTGTTTTTCTTTATTCGTGGCTGGATGTTCATTAACGCCTCTGTTGTTGTCAATATTAATATTCGTCTCAAGGGGTAAGTCACTCAGCACAGAGTGCAGAAAGTAGATTCGGCATAGCTTGGGCACGTCCATCGGCACACCTTCGGCACAATCTCGTAGGCATTGGATTGTTCATTAAATAAAATGGAAGCACTGCTGGACAGCTGTCATTGAAGTTGTTCACAACATTACGTGCTGTTTGATTGTGTATTTCAGAAACATACTCTAATTGAATAATACTACTAGAGAAACTCAGACCAGTAATTCACTTCTCGGTTCACATTTAAATTCGAAATGTAGGCTTCCGAGGGCTGTCGATTGCTATCGATGCCGGTCACAAGTCTTTCAGCTACTACGCAAATGGAGTGTACTACGAACCGGAATGCAAGAGCAATTTGGATGGATTGGATCATCTGATCAACTGTGGCCTTACCACCGATGCGACGTATGTAAATTTGACGTGAGATTTCGATTTAAATTTGAATTAAGTAAAAGAGTAGTTTTATTTTCGGATATGTGTCATCTTATACGAGATAAAATAAATGATTTTCGATTTTTGAAATAAAAATAAAAGTTAATTAGGTTGAGTGGAAGCATTAAAAACTCCTTGTGATTGTGCCGTGAAAAGTAGTCGGTCAATTGGCCGTCTACCAAACCAAACTCATTTGAACAATACCGAACTAATTTTCACGGCACAATCACACGGAATTTTTATTGCTTCTACTCAATCTAATTAACTGACAATTTTTAAACTGAATTTCACTTGTTGAGGTACTACGATCGAATTCTCCCGAAACTCGAACCCGATGGTAAAACCGAACGTCTTAGATTGGGATCGTTCCTCTTGGCATAAACCATTCCGACGTGGAAAACTTCCGAGAGCTTCTTGTCCGGAATCATAATCTTTTCAAAATTGGCCTTGTCTTTGTCGTTCTTTTCAACAGCTTCACCGACGGAATGCCCTCCTTACCATCCTTCTCGATCTGCTTCAAGAAATCGACCTTCTTCTTACTGGTCAGGAAAAAGATTGACTTTTCGCACAGCACCGTAATCGTATCGATCAGCTCGTATCCCAGCAGCCAAGTCTTCAGCGAGATTGATTTGCTGTAGATGGTTTCCTCGTCTACGCCGACCGCCGTCAGATTACAATCCACCTTCTGCAGCGAATCATCATGGGAGAACTCTGATTCCTCCCAGCTGGCGTAGAGGCGTTTTATTCGTCGGTAGAAGAAATCCTTATCGAGCACGATATTCGACATTTTCGGGGCCGTTGCGATTGCAAACCTAAACATTCAAGCTGTCAGAAATACTGGGTTGCCAAATATACCATACTATTTTTTGAAAAATCACAGCTTGCTCTATGCCCGGCACAATCGGCAAACCAGCGGCACACTGAGAAAAATGTTGACCCAAAATTAGTGTGCGGAGTGACCTACCCCTTGATTCGTCTTCATCTTGGTGGGGATGATTTTGAGGATCAAATACAAAATGATCATTTTCATTTTACACAAATATAGCGCTGAAGAACGTGTCGTGTTGGTTTTTGCACACAGATCGATGGCAAATAATTGCCTCATTCGAAATCGATGATAATATCGAGGTTTTACGTTCTGGGGTTGACAATATTAAAAATAATCAATAATTCCCAAAATTAAATTGATTATTTTACTTTTGAGGGTCGGTTCTGATTTTGATAATTTTGGGTTGGATTATCAAAAACTGGTGAATATCAACACACACGAAGTCGTTGATGTATAATGAACTCATTTGTTCATTTCGCTCGTATGTAACAGCGAAGATTTTCAAAACAAACGCAATTCAGAAGAAGCATGTCAGAAGGGCATAACTCGAAACGTAAACAATGAATTTGAACGTCGATTTCTCTTCAATGACCACACACCCACAGAATCTGACTACACCAGCTCACAGAACAAACATTTCTCTGTCAGATGATTTAGTTAGTTTGAGTGGGTGTGTTGTCATTCGTTAGAAACCAACGATCCAAGTCATTGTTTACGTTTCGAGTTAGACCCTTCTGACATGTTTCCCCTGAATTGAAGCGCTGCTCCTTGCGTGTGATAGTAAATGCTAAAAACAGACACTACTATCAATAACTGCTGGAAGCCAATTTGACCAGCTTCCGTAACATGGAGATAAACCAGGGTAAGACGAATTGAATGTCCAAATTATTCAGCTAGGGAAAAGAATTAATGGTGATGGGTTTTCCGAAGAAGCTTTAGCATGAATTGTCGAAGACCTAATTTAAATTGTGCATGAACTGGATGAAGATAAGAAGGATGTATACGAGGAATCTGACACAGATATTGAAGATCCAAAAGAATTTTCCCCAAATAATTAACAGAAGGCATCAGTGAGTTTCAATTGAAAAGGCTTTTAAATTGTTATGCTATATACGACCACTAATTCCAGATGTATCTTCAGTGCTAACATTTGAAAACGGCACAAAAGCCATTTGTAAACAAATGGTTTGTGGGCCCTTTACTCACTACTTGAAGTACACCCACGCGACACAACAGCAACATCGGGTAGGGGAAATTTTCCCCTTCCTGACGATGCTGTTGATTTGCGTGGGCGTTCTTCGGGTAGCGAGTAAAGGGCCCACAAACCATTTGTTTACAAATGGCTTTTGCGCCGTTTTCAAATGTTAGCACTGTAATGATTCCAGCGACTATGACGAAGAATTCCATCGTAGTACGTGTGCTTGTTTATGAAAGTGAGTAAATTATCACCGTTTTTCTTCTTTAGTAGGTTGATTAATTTCCCGTAACCAGAGAAACTTAAGTTAAATTAACATTTCAAATAATATGAATAAAGAAAAAAAAAAAGCAAAAACATTATTTTAAAACCACAGACAAACATGCATATCACTGGTAATTGTCAATTGAAATGTTTTTAGTTGGTTTTATCGCCTATGGCCAATCATACAGACAATCCTTGCGTTTGATGTTTACCCTTCAAACCCTTGCGTTTGATGTTTACACACTACCGCCATCTGTTCAACGTACTACCCATCACCGTATAGTCAACAGATGGCGGTAGTGTTTTAGTGACGATGTTTAATATTGAAAAAATCCAATGTCAACTACACGTCACTAGAACGTCAATCAACTATAACTTTAAAATATTCAGCTGATAACATGTTTAATGGGGCATAAAGCAAAATCTCCTGAAGCTTCATAATGTCCATCGTATACATTAACAACAACAGATCACATGTTGCACTTTTAGACCTCAAGGTCTTTAATCCACGGTATTCTTGTATAACCTAGAACACGAATTTATTCAAGCATTTATACAAACATGTCGAGTGTTAGTTTAAAAATAGTTCTTTTTTACGAAGTAAATCTCAAATAAAGAGTTTTTACGCTATTATTCGACTTGCAACCCCCCGGTTTCGTTCATAAATGGAGCATTCAGTGTATTGTGGGGTATTTGACAGTATTTCCCAGTTTTTCTGTAACCGGAAACTAGCCTGAATTTCAAAATGACGCCAACAATGGATTTCCGGTTCCAACACGTCACTATGATTCCAAAAATACCCATATTGTGGGGTATTTGACACTATTTTCCCGTTTTATGTAACCTAAAGCCGCCATATTGGATTTGCCGACATATTCTGGTGTATTTCACAGTATTTCATAGTATTTCCCAGCTTTTTCTGTAACCGGAAGCCGTCATCTTGGATTCCAAAATGAAATCAGGCAAGGATTTCCAATCCCTACACGTCTCTCCGATTCCAAAAATACCCATATTGTGGGGTATTTGACAGTATTATTCAGTTTTACTGTAACCAGAAGCCGCCATCTTGGATATAAAAATGGTGACGGACATGGATTAGCGTTCCCTACAGGTCACTCTGTTTTCAAAAATACCCATATTGTGGGGTATTTGGCAATATTTTCCATAATCATTTTCCACATGGAAAAACATGTCCCCGAGCGATTTTGAAAAATCAGCACCACCCTACTGTTTTATTCCTTCCGAAATAAACCAGGTAATGCCTTCATTTATGCGCTGGGCGGTACCGTCCATCCGCCGCTGTTTCTCGGCGGTCCTTCAACCGATTACTCTGATTTTGTGTGTGTGAACTATAAACTAGTTATCTTCATGAAATAAGTTCAGTTGATTGAAGGACAGTCGATAAAGAGCGGTGGGTGGACGGTTCCACTAACCGCATAAATGAAGGGATTACCGTACAAATTGTTCCGGTGTACTCATTTCCTACGAATTTCATGTGGATTTTGACACCCAATGGCCTGTAGTTCTTAAACGTAATAAAAAAAAACAGAATAAAATGTACAAGGTTTCCAAACTTACCTGAGCACACATTTTCGCAGAGTCCTTCAACGGATCGGCCACAAACGGGCTCAAATCTGTACCGGAACCTCCCATTTTACGCGACACTCGTTTCGTTCCTTCCTGGAAAACCGTTCCCAGATTCATCAGTGGATTTTTCATTGCCGTCTGCAATCCCTTCAGTTGCTTTCCGGCGTTCTGTATGCCAGTCAGTGCGATGAACAATCTCAACACATCGTTTGCTCCTTCGAAGATTCTAAATACTCGCATGTCCCTCAGGAACTGCTCCAATCCGGGCGCTTGCATGTAACCGTTTCCTCCCAGCAACTGAATAGCTTCATCACAGACATACCATCCCGCTTCCGTCCCAAACACCTTGGTAATGGCTGCTTCCAGGTGATAATCGGTCGATCCGGCATCCATGTTTCCCGACACCATAAAACCCAACGATTGAGCCACGTAGTGATGCATAGCCATCTTGGCCAGTTTCTCCTGGACATTTTCAAACTCCATCAATTTACGCTTGAACTGAACACGGTTTGATACATGTTCGGCGGCCTTCTCGATACAGGCTCGCATCGTGCCCGTCAGCATTGCACACAATCCAAACCTTCCGGAATTCAAAATGTTGACCGCAACCTTAAATCCGTTGCCAACCTCTCCAAGTACATTTTCCACCGGAACCTTAACATCATCGAAGTAAACATCTGTCGTAACGGAACACTTCAAGCCCATTTTCTTCTCTGGCGGTCCCGAACTCACACCGTTGAATCCACGCTCCACAATGAATGCAGTCATTTTATCCTTCTTTTGACCCGTTTTCGGATCGACCACTTCGGTTTGGGCAAACGTTGTGAAAATATCCGCTATTCCACCTCCCGAGCACCACAGCTTGGAACCGTTTAAGATGAAGTATTTGCCGCATGGGCTTAGAACAGCCCTGGTTTTCACTGACGCCGCGTCCGACCCTACCGATGGCTCAGTGAGAGCAAATGCTCCCATGACACGACCCGTGCTCAGCTGTGGCAGATACTTCTTCTTTTGCGCTTCCGTTCCGTACAGCAAGATTCCTTTCGTTCCGATCGATTGATGTGCTCCAATGTGGATTGTGAAGGCTAGATCGCTACCTCCGCTGATTTCACCCAAACGCGCTGCTTGCATGTTTGTCAAGCCCAGACCGCCGTATTCCTCCGGAATGGAGGTACCCATAATGCCCAACTCCCAGGCGGCATTCATTGTGTTTTCGTCTACATTGCTGGTTTCATCATTCTTTGTACGATTGTTGGTTTCCTGCAAGATGGAATAGTTCGTTTTAATTTTGACGGTATTATCTCTAAGTTGAGCAAACACGAGCTTACATTGAAAAATCGATTAACTGGGTCGATGAACGCCTGAATGTACTCTTTCTGCTCTGCGTTCAGAGGATCCGGATATGGAAACAGTTGTGAAGTCTGCACCTTACCGCTGAAAACGTTCATCATGAAGGATTGATTCGGTTTCGGCGGTTCGGAATTGAGCTTTGCCGTTGTGGAGAGGCATCTGCCAGAATTTTGAAATATAGGTTACGTAAAGATTTTTTCCGGTCTCGAGCGAGACTTCCATGATACCAACCTTACTGCTCCGTAGCGCACCAACTGCTGACCGTTTCGGCTCAACACTTGCCCAGTTAGTTGGAACATCTTCAGGTAACAAAACTTATTTGATTGCCAAAGAGTATTTTCTAAGCAAGTGACACCTTGTAGCTCGAAGTTGAAGATTGAAGCGTGTACTGCGGTTGAAATTCCACTACGGAATGAATATGGATTCCATAGAATTGTAGGCTCGTGCACCTTGCGTTTTATCAATCAACCTGATTTAGATATCGCATTATCTGGATCAATTTCACTGTTTTGTAATGTAATGACTTGCTCGTGACTGTGTTGGATATATCAGTCTGGTAAGTCACCATCGATAACAAGAGTGGATAAGAATACGTTAAAACATTTTGCGGTGGACTTGCGGATTGACCTTTGTTTTGGGTGCCTACATTCACGGGAATTCCATTTTAAAAAGCGATATCCACGGGGGGCTGTTATCTACATAGGAAATATTTGTTTAAAATTAAATGTAGTATCTCGTGGAAAGGTTAATGTTCTAATAAAGACAGCAAAGTTACGGTTGATACTACATTGTTGTGTTATGAATGGTGTGGTACAGTTATGGCATAATCACAAGCAAATTGATATTTTTCCGCTCTCATACGCTCTCAATATCACGCGTGATATTGGAGCAAAATATCATGCTTGATATTGATTTTACATATTGTGATATTATTGTGAGACTATTCACAACGTGCAAAAATCAAGCTGAGAGTTGAATCGACGCAAAAATGATTCCGTTGCACCTCGTTTTCTTAGAAAGAGAAGGTATAATAATGCTATCTCTTTTTTCTATTCACCGATGGCAGACACGTTATGCCGTTATGGAAGTTTCGGTTGCGTTCGAGTGTAAAGCCAAAATCATGTAACTCAATCTCACCACAGTTTGGTGAGATTTGCAGCTGGTGAGTTTTGTTAGCTTGATATTCTTAGCTACAATATCACAGCTTGCAATATCAACCGCAGTTGTTTGCTTGTCGATTTTTGTCTACGAACATCAAGCGTGATCTTGTTCTTTGGTGAGCTTTGATTTTTTGATATTTTTCCAACACTGGTGTGGTAAGAGCAGTAGTTTTGTAGTTTTGTTTTTCTCTCACTTTGCATCTCATTTCGTATTACCGGAATGATCCGTAACAAGCCTGAATTCGATCGCAATTGCCCATACACATCTTTCTTAGCACACAATGAATCCTCCTCTTCCAGTTATTTAAAAACACTTTCTCGTATATGACTTTACCACTCTCGAGCAGAGCCTATTGTAAACTCTCATGGTGTGGTAAGTATAAGTCCTGCAAGATTGGACTCTGGCATGTACCGGAAGATCTTATGAGAAAAGTTTGAATTCCTCGGCCACGATCCACGACTTTCAAAACTTCTGGTATTTGGTCATAGTGGAGCATGGTCCATGCGGATTACGCAGTAAAGATGTAAACGGTCACTGAAGTTAATCGTAATGGGGGATACCATCCCAAGTATCATTTTTGGTTTTATTTTTTTTAAATCCTCGATAAAACTTACAATGTTGCTTGGGATGGTAGCTCCAATTCAGTAACATTTATTGATTCTTTTCATCGACTTTATCTTTCGTTAATAACTTGGGTTCAGAAACGTTTTTTGTTGTATGTACTGAAAATAGCAGGGAATTTCTTAACATGGTCGTGAGGATGCAAAGAGAAAGTCAACGAAGAGAATCTGTCAATCTTACTTAGGACCTATTGCAGCTTGAATTTATTACAACACGTTGCTCGTTGAACATGAGTTCGCTGGCTAAGATCGGTATGCAAGAGATTTAAGGGTGTAAAAGTGCTCACAATCCGCTAGTGTTGGTGAGTTATTTGCCGTTAAAGTTCCGGAAGAATTTACTATTTTTCCATACTAAATACCAAACAAACAAATTTACGGACGAATTTGGACAGTTTTGGATTTGTTTCACACGATCGGACGGTGTATGTGGGTCACAAATAATTGGCTTAATTTACATCCTACACGCAGAACACATTTTACTTACATCCAACTTAAGGTTGGTTTTATTACATCCTCTGCCTATGTTTCATACAACAAATGTACTGAACACATTTTACTTACATCCAACTTAAGGTTGGTTTTATTACATCCTCTGCCTATGTTTCATACAATAAATGTACTGGCAGATCTTGCAATGGATTGCAGCGTACAAGCACGATTTTCCAGAATACATAAAGTCTGGAACGCGCAAAAATTGGTCAACTTCAATTTGGTGTATTTCTGAAACTGACCAAACATGAAATGCTGCATTTGAGTGTATATACAATGGTTGCTATGATGAGTTTTCACCGTTTGCTCTCTAGTTTTCAAAATGGCGTTCAAACAAGAGGAGCAGCGTGTCAAAATTTTGCTAGCGCAGCAAGAGAATCCGACGTTCTCACACGCCAATTTGGCAAAATTGCTGGATGTGGCCAAATCGACCGTGAAAAACGTTTTAAAAGTGTTCGGGGAATGTCTCTCGACCGCCAGGAAGCCTGGAAGCGGCGGTAATCGTAATCCGGACGTGGCAGCGACAACGAAGATGGTGGCGGTGAAATATAAGCGGAATCCTAACCTCTCCATCCTGGATGTCGCTGTCAAGCTAAATGTCTCCCATACTACTGTGCAGCGGTCCAAGAAACGTGCCGGGTTTCCGACGTTTAAGAAGGTGAAGGTGGCGAACCGAGATAACAAACAAAACACGTCGGCAAAGCAGCGATCCCGAAAGCCGTATACGAATCTGCTCACAAAGTTCGACTGCGTCGTCATGGACGACGAAACTTATGTGAAGGCGGATTTCAAGCAGCTTCCGGGACAGGAGTTTTATACCGGAACCATCAATGAAGAGATCTACGTCCAGGAGTGCCAGGAAAAGCGACTGCTACCATTCCTACAGCAACATGATAGACCTGTGCTTGATGAGCTGCGACTATGGGAAAAAAGCAATCGAGTGGTACGATGCGAATAACGTGGTTGTGGTACCCAAAGACCACAACCCTCCCAACTCCACCCTATCGAACGGTATTGGGCCTTGGTCAAACGGAATTTAAAAAAAAAAAACTAATAAATCCATGGAAAACGAGCAGCAGTTTAAATCTATCTGGTGTTCGGCGGGGAAAAAGGTCGATGAGACCAATGTGCAAAATTTAATGGAAGGGGTTAAGTGGAAGGCACAACAGTTCGGATTTGGCAAACCAAAAGAATAAACGAACATTTTTGACGTAGGACTACGTCTGTGATTTCTATATGGGGGTACACATTGTGAAAACCGAAAATGGAACATGTTACACAATTAGGAAAGATTTTTAACGTTAATAACTCAGCTGCCCCTAGACCAACTTCAATAATATTATCACTTATCGATCAGATATATTTCTACGCATCTGTTAAATTTAAGACTTTTTCATTTTTCAAAATTTTACTATTGAAAATTGCACGAATGTGCAACTGTTGCTATGATAATTAAAATTATCACCGATTGCTTCTGAAAAAGCGATTTCCCTAACACAGATTTGAAAGTTGAATTCCATCCGGACTCACCAAAAGGTGTTTATTAAATCACCGCGTGGTGAGTGGTGGTGTTCTCCAGCACATAACGAAAGGCTCCCCGAAAGCAGATAGCTACCAAGGCTGACCTCAACCGCTGATCGGATTCAGTTTCTATCACCGTGTGTGGTGGTGTCCGGTCGTCGGCATCAGCAGCAGCAGTGCTGTCGGCGCGTGGCGTTGAACATTGTTCTCCAGTACACAACGAAAGGCTGCCTGCAAGCAGTGAGCTGCAGCCCGCATGAGCATCCATAGAAGGAGGAAGAGGCTGCACCGCTATTGATTGGAATCAGTAGCCTTTCGTGAGTCGCTGTAGGCCATCTATGTCAATCTCGTCATATGAATAGAAAGAACCCCGCTCAAATTCATATGCCTACACAACATACAAGCTCCTGCTGCACAATTAAGATTTATTATATAAGGCCACGTAGTCCTACACAGTGCTGTGTATTATCATAACGGTTATTGTACCTTGACGGTCATCCTCGTATAACCGTCACATCTCAGAAATGACGAGCATATCACTTGGAAACACCTCTACCTCACTAGACCGTCTTCATAAAAGCCATCCATGACAGTTAGATTAAATGGTAAGGAGAGAGTAGCAAAATCATTCACGCACTGATCGTCTCTGGTGGGCATTTATAAGTGGGAAGTGAGAATAATGCTCACTCATTTTCCTGTTTTTGCTAAAAGTTGTGGAGTTCAGAACATACGAAACATTTTGAAGAAAACGTTGGATTTTCATTTTCCTTGTAACAAATAAATATGTGGGTGCTATTACGTTACAATGTCGAAAAATATCCGTTTATCTTCAAAAATTCAATTTCTTAACATGCAAATTAAAGCCACCTTTTTTTTATGATCCATCGGCAATATCAATTCTATTTTACGTACGCGTCATTGTTTACGATGCTTAATAAATCTCAAAACTTGCACAACTCACAATTAATAATTTCGGAGGCGAACCAGCCTAAGGCTGAAAGCCTCATAAATAAAGCTAAATTAATTAATTAATCAATTAATCATTTTGTTCGAACATTTTCTACAGAGATGGCGCTGTTCCGCTGGTAGGAAGTGATGAAAATCCCCATATAAAAATTGAGAGAAGTGGGAATAATTCGCTTTCGGTGCATATTCAGGTCAAAAAAGGTGAACGACAACCTAAAGAAATTAATCAGGGACTTTGTAGTTCATTTTCTTTGCAGCTACAATTAAATAAAAATGATTTTTCCCCATACAGTTTTACCTGATTTACTACCAGCTCCCAGAGAGCCAAAACATTCAAATTTGTGAGACAAAATTTGCTCTCCCGACCTCAATCTCTCTACATCTCAAGTTTAGATGCTCAACAAATATCACACTAGCTAATAAATCTTCGAAAAATCTTCTTGCATTTATCGCATCTACTTGCATCGCGCATCATCTTTTTGCCGGAAATCTTTAGAATCATCATCAATCTTCTTTCTATCTACTCAGCGTGCGCGCAGCTAGCCACAGCAAAACACAATCTTTTCTGCATCGTAGATAGAGTCGTCCCCCTCGCTACATGCCATGTATTTTGTTGACACTCGTTTTGTGATTTCCCTTTCACATATTACAAAAGAGAGTACCTGACACTACAAAACATGTCTGGTACCTCTATTTATGCATTTGCTTTAACATTTGAAATCCCTCCTTTTTTACATATTCTGCGCAAAAGATACTTTATGCCCCGCCCCATACATACAATTCGGCGGGATATGCTGTGAGGGATGAGCTATTTTGTGTGCAGAATGTGTAAAAAAGGAGGGACTTCGAATAATAATCTAAATGCATATATAGAGGTATCAGAGATGTTTTGAACTGCAGTGTCCTCTGTGAACAATTATAAGAAAGCAGATTGTGTGTAGTTTCTGATAGATGTCACCGCAAACAACAGCTGTGACATCTGATGGAACATGAATGCAGAAGCTTGACAAAATGATTAATTACTGGTTATGATATGATTGTATAACGCAGGATAAGACTATTTTAAGCAACATTCTGCAATTGAGCGCTAATATCTCGCGATCAGAACATTTTAGCGATACATCTCTCCAAACATTTCTCGGTACATCTTTTATCTACGGATTGAAAAAAAAATGATTAAATGTTGCGAGATTTCGTGCGTTTTGTGAACGTACATCCATAATTTTGCCTAAGAAAATGGGGCATTTCTGTGGTGGAAAAATTGTGATTTCCATTTCAGAATGTAGTACCTGTTGATAACAGAAGGAATTACATGAATCCACTCCTGAAACTCCTGGATCAGTCCTGCTCCTTTGCAAACCAGTCATTGAGATGATCCCGAAAAGTATGGTCGCAAATTTTCTCCGGCTCATTAATAGAAAAAAATGTCATCTCAAAAAGAAAACCACGATGTTTTGTTTTGATAGAATCTAATATAGTTTTGTATATAAACCTTTCGATACTTATTATACCTGTATGTACACAAAAACAAAAAATTGGTGTGTGATCGGATTAACAAAAAAACATAACATAAGTTAGTGGATGTTGGTGAAATTGGCTACCTAAGTTTTCCCTTAAATCGTTCACTCGAATATCAACTCGCATACATAGGCAATTGGAGCTAGGCCCAAATCCTGCAGCTTTCACAGACCCTTACTCTTTCGCAATAGTGGGACACCGATTCGGTAAATATTTGACAGTCGTGCAAGATTCCCTAATTGAATTTTCGCTAGAAAATCATCATGAACCATTTCGCTAGAGGTCGACAGATCCGCCTCGTACTCGATTCGCAAACGCAGTTTAATCAATATCCAGCGGATTGTTATGCGCAATTCCATTGTGAGCGCAGATATTCTTGGAAATCTGAGACATCTTGCCGCAATTTTTCACAAACGAGTCGGAATTAATTTTGCGAATGTTGACTCGCACTCGATCGGCTGCTTCGTGACACCAGGCCTGTGCCATCAGCACTTCATGCTCCGCTGACGGTAGATCCTTGTGAACAGCTCGAGATGCCCGCGATAGGACCACTGCCATCGCATACGTGTCGATAGCGGCATCGGCCAACCTGTTCAGCACGAACTGTTCCTCGACAATATTCTTTCCGTGCTTGATAAGCAGCGATTCAACCGCCTGACCAAAGATGTCGATACACTAGAAAAGGTTAAAAGAAAATAATGTTAAATTCAGTTTCCCAACCGTGACTTTTCCCTAAATACCTCAGAACAGTGCTTGGAAGCATCCTTGAGCTGATCGGCAACGAATGGTGTCAGATCAGTTCCACCGTAACCGATGCTACGAATTGCTCGCCGCGATCCTTCCTTGAAGATCAATCCCAAATTGGCTGCCGGATACTTTAATGCTTTCTGCAATTCTTTCAGGTGAGATCCTGCATACTGGATGCCCGTCAAAGCGACAAACAATCGCAGAATGTCGTTCGTTCCCTCGAAGATTCTGAAGATTCTCAAATCACGCATGAAACGTTCCACGCCAGCATCCTTCATGAATCCCATTCCACCCAGAATCTGGATCGTTTCATCACATACATACCACGCCGACTCCGAAGCAAACACCTTGGAGATGGCCGCCTCCAGATGGTAGTCCGTAGAGCCGGAGTCCATGTTTCCAGAGATCATATAGGCCATCGACTGAGTTGCGTAGTGGTGCATAGCCATGCGCGCCAACTTCTCCTGAATTCCACCGTACGTTTCCAACTTCCTACCGAACTGGACACGATTCGTAGCATGTTCGGTAGCCTTTTGAATGCAAACCCTCATGGTACCAGATAGAGTAGCAGCCATACCGAAACGTCCATTATTCAGGATATTCATAGCAACCTTGAACCCGTTGCCTTCTCCTCCCAGCACGTTCTCAATTGGGATCTTGCAATCTTCAAAGTAAACTTCAGCCGTATTGGAACACTTGATACCCATCTTGTTCTCCGGTGGGCCACTGGTAACACCACCAAATCCACGCTCGACAATGAATGCCGTCACCTTGTCCTTCTTCTGGCCGGTGCGAGGATCTTCAATCTCTGTCTGAGCAAAAACGGTCATTATATCGGCAATCCCTCCGTTGGATATCCAGATCTTGGACCCATTCAACACGAAGTGCTTGCCATCCGGAGTCTTCACCGCACGGCACCGAATGGAACCGGCATCCGAACCGGAACTCGGCTCGGTCAATGCAAAAGCAGCATAGATTTTTCCGGTAGAAACTTTCGGCTGGTATTTTTCCTTTTGTTCCTTCGTTCCGTACAGCAGAATTCCCTGTAGAGATAAGCGATAGAGGGCGTTTGAATGATTTAAAAATCAACAATCTCCTTATCGATTCATGTGATCGATGTATGTGTATACAAACAGAACGAGAGAGAACACGTGTTCGATACTCACTTTGAAACCGATACTTTGGTGGGCACCGATGCAGATTCCCAATCCCAGATCCTGTCCACCGATGATGTCGCACATCCGGGAGTACTGGGTGTTGTTCAAGCCCAGACCACCGTGCTCCGGAGGAACTTGCAGCGAAAAGGCCCCCAGTTCCCACAGGGCATCGCTAGTGGCCTCGTCGATACTGGCGGTCGTGTCGTTCTTGACCGGGTCGTTAACTTCCTGCAAGTTAAATAGATCATATTGAGACTATTGTATTTCAACGGAAGCATAGATATTGGTACGAACCTCGAAGAACCTATTAACGGGATCGACAAACGCTGCAATGTATTCCTTCTGGTCGGCATCTAGCACCTCCGGATAGGGGAAGACCTGAGACGGTTGAACCTCGCCGCGGAAGATGTTGGTTAGGAACGACATGTTGGGCTTCTTGTCGTCGTCGGTGGCGGCCGGGCGGCTTTCTTGGCGCTTTTGCGCTTTGGGAGCCGCAGAGAGGCATCTGTAATTAGGGCGAAAATATGATATCATAAAAGTAAGTCTAGAGTCTAATTTTTTGAAACATGGTGAATAGATATATTTTTTTAAACCGTGGCTGATGGTTGAACAGATGTTTATTGATTTATTGCTATAGTAGTTGTGGTCTTTATTGGAAGAGCCTGTATGAAGTAAGATTTGTTTTAGTAAAATGCTCGATTTTTAATTTTTTATCTAGTGGACGAATTTGAGTAAAACTAGTGGCAAAACTAATGAACTTTATTACGACTAAAAATGAGCGAAATTTCAAGAAGTTACGATCATTTTATTTCAAGAATTGCTCTAAATTTTTGTAAACTTATCCTTATATGCCCAATACTGAGCCAATAATTGATAAATGTATGCTGAGTCAGCTGCCAGAAATTCAGAGACATATCTTCTTATCTTGTGCTTTTAGAGCCGTTTTTTTTTCTAAAATTTAAGTACAGCTGTACGATCCATTTTAAAGATACACTGTAAGTGTCCCGTACATAAATACATACATTTCGAAGGCTAGCATTTTTTGACAATGTTTCACTAGCAACCAAAACATGCATTCGTATTGTGCAGATGCCGCATTGTTCTAAGAAATATTGAATAACAGGAGTTTTTACAAGCCAGCCATGGCGATTACACCATGAGTAACCAGATCCAAAACTATTTATTTCTAATCAATATTAAGTGGACTTAGACATTTCGATCTACGTGCTCTACGTGCTCACGAAGATGCATAAGAGAATTTTTGGAACTCCCATGCAGATTACTAGGCGCTTAAAGGGTGTCCACGATGAAATTGCCACACACAAAATTGATTCGCAAAATTCGAGTTTTCATCCGATTGCCATCAAATTTTCAGGGATTGAGAAATAACTATTAAACTTCATTTTACCATTTTACTCGTATTTTATATACAGTCCATACGCAAATGCCCGCACCTTGGCCTTAACCCCGGCCATAAGATTCTGCACAACCTGTGAATCAACCGTTTTTTGCATGTAAACCCATACTTTCTTCAGTTCCTCGACTGTCTTCACTACCTTAGGTCGTTTAAGAAGGTGTTGCTTCATAATCGCCCAGTACTTCTCGATGGGGCGGAGCTCCGGAGTGTTGGGAGGGTTGAACATTTTCGGCACGAAATTGACCTTATTGTCCGCATACCACTTCAGCACGTCCTTGGAGTAGTGGCATGAGGCCAACTCCGGCCAGAAGATTGTTGGGACGTTGTGGGCCTTCAGGAGAGGAAGCAGCCGCTTCTGGAGGCACTCTTTTCTGTACACCTGTCCGTTCATCGTGTCCTGGGTCACGAAAGGTGCACTCCGCTTCCCGCACGTGCAGATGGCTTGCCAAACCAGGAATTTCTTCGCAAATTTGGACATCTTCTGAGCGCGGACATGCTCCGGAACGCTGAACTTATCCTTGGCCGTGAAAAACAGGTTGCCGGGGATCTGTTTGAAGTCGGCCTTCACATATGTTTCGTCGTCCATGATGCAGCATTCAACTTTCGTCAGCATGTTGAGGTACAGCTTCCTGGCACGGGTTTTGGCGGACTTGTTCTGCTTCTCGTCGCGATTAGGGGCCTTTTGTACCTTGAACGTTCGAAGCCCAGCCTTAGTTTTGGCCTTTTGGACAAAACTTCGGCTTAGGTGCACCTTCTTAGCCACATCCCTAACGGAGGCGTTCGGATTTCGGTTGAAGGCCCCAACTACGCGGTTGTGATATATGTCTATTGAGTAGTCCTCCAGTTTTCTACTAACGTAGCACTAACCAGATTTAAATAAAATGCTCCATTTTCAAAATAAAAGCATTTTAAGATTGCACTCGTATACCTCTCCGTGGAAAATTTTGAAACCATCATCACTTTCATTGCCAACGCATATAATCGCTTTGAATCGCTTCTACTATGTTGTCGGCCTCAGAGTCAGAAGACGTATTCAGAGGGCAAGAACAGAAGCAGACAGAGAGGAACGTAGAGGAATGTTCCGAGCACACAAACGAGAGATAAAGACGAAGTCACCAACGAGCAATTCGTAGCAGTGCCTGACGCCTGCTGGATACACTCGGAAAACTCTTGGAGAGGATCATCCTAAACAAGCTGACGAAATGCACGGAGAGTGAGCAAGCATTGTTGGAGAAACAGTTCGGATTTCGAAAAGAAAGAGCAAAAGTGGATGCAATTCGGACAGTTGTCGAGAAAGCCGAGAAAGCGTCGAAACAGAAGTGTAGAGGAGATCGATATTGCACCGTGATAACGATCGACGTTAAGAATGCGTTCAACAGATCCAGCTGGGAGGCCGACGCTACTTCCAGAACCGGGTTCTGATCTACGAGCCAAATATGGGACAGAAATCGATTTGGTGGGAATTCCACAATGCTCCATCCTTGGTTCAACGCTCTGGAACGTGATATAAAAAGGCGGTCTAACGCTGAAGCTACCCAAGCGAGTTGAGGTCGTTGGTTTTGCGGACGACGTCTTACGGTAACAGGCAAGACGCTGGAATAGATGGAAATGTTGGCGGTCGTCATGATTGGAGACCTAATGCATGGAGCGAAGCTGCAGATAGCCCACAACAAAAGCTAGGTGGTATTGATCAGTAACTTTAAAGCGCTGCAGCGGTCAGAAATTACCGTTGGGGAGCACGCAATAAACGTGTTGAAATGCCTGGGAGTGATGGTCGACGATCGTTTGGATTCAATAGCCACGTAGAATACGCCTACGAGAAGGCAGCGAAGGCCATCAACGCGGTAGCCAGAATCATACCGAACATCTCGGGACCAAGCAGTAGCAAGAGACGGCTCCTGGCTAGTTGATACTTAGATATGGAGGTCCAGCCTTGGCTGCCGCGCTGAAAACCAAGCGGAATTTAAGGAAACCGAACAGTACGTACCGGTTCAACAAACCGTATGCAAACTTTTCGAGACGTTTGGTGTACTCTTTGTTGTAAGAATAGTAAACAGATATCAGTAATTCAAATAACAGTGGATAAATAATGGTTAAACTAGATTTCAAAATCATTTTGATTGTTAAAATATTGAAAAAGAAAATTTCCGATTCTGTCAGTTTCCGTTTTTGTCAGCCTAAAATTCCAGATAAGGCTGACAAAACCGGGAAAGTACCGTAGTGCAGGGCAGTTTGATAAACTTCAGAAAAATTCAATTCCTTAACTTCAAGAAGATCCAGGAACTGAAGTTTCAAGAAATTCAGGGATGTTCCGATAGCTTTAGGTACACACTCAGTTTTTTCTACCGAGCTCGGCTGTGGAAATCTCGGCAAAAAAGTTTCACTGAGATCTCAGCAAAAGTGACATTTGATTGCTGAGTCTCGGATAATGCTTAGCTTAATCTCAGAAAACAAATGAAATGTTTGCTGAGATCTCAGTGAAACTTTTTTTTGCCGAGATTTGCACAGCCGAACTCGGTAGAAAAAACTAAGTGTGTATGTTTAAAAATATTAAGTAATGACCAACAACCTTTGGAACACTTCTGAGAACTTCAGGTTAAACTTCATAAACATTGTGGGAACTTGACAGATGTTCAAAAAAGAACTTTAAAAAATGTAAGAGCTGTCTAGTATTTTTATTCAGGAAAATTATTGGGAACCTTCAAGAAGCTTTGATTGGTGTATGAAAGTTTCAATAACTCGAAAGCAGTTCCGAAAATTTCAAAATATTTCTAAAAATTTTAAGATCATCCAGAACTCCGGGGACGTTTAATGGCCTTAAAGGATAAGTACCGACAGCTTCAGTGTTGTTAGAGACCTTCAGGCCAGTTCTTTTTACTTAAGGAAAATTGCAGGAACTGTGCGGAAGTTACGAAAACTTTAGCGAATTTTAAAGATCTTTAAGAAAGTTACGTGACCTTTTGTTTTAAATGGCCTTTCCTACCACTTGAACTTTGCAGTTTAAAAATCTTTTGATATTGTTTTTTTTCTAGAACCTTGAGAAAATAGGATCTTACTTCTGCTCAGCTTGAAAAATGTGGAGCATCATTTTCTTAAAATCGCTGGTCGTTCCAAAACTGCTCGTGCTTCCAGAGATTTCGACAGTGAGCATGGCGTATACGCGATGATCGATTCTCTTCATCGCTTTTCTCTTTGCATTGCTACAGCTAAACGTAATAATTTTCTAGAATTTGTTCAATGCAGTACTATAACAGGTTGTACTGGCTATCAAAAGCACCAGCAAACGCACAAAATACAGTTTACAAACTCAGACAAATACAGTTTATTAAATTCAGGAAAACAGCGCAAGCCTTCAAGAAGTTCCGAAGATTTCAGGAACATCATCAGGAAAATAGTGAAAACTTCAGGGATGTTCCAAGAACTTTTTTTCCTTTGAATTTGTATTCCGTCGATCTTGTTTTCCGTGCTGAGCACCAAAGCTACCGACGCCAGTCAGCTCCCACACCTGGACCCTACCTATCGACCTATCAACTCATGAACCGGGGACCAACGGTACCGTACAATTAAATTTCAATCTTAAATCAAATCCAATCCAATTCCAATACAAATGCAAACCCAACTTCAATTAAGATCCATTTTTAATTAAACACGAATATAATCCAAATCCAAACAATATTCAATCAAAGTCAAAATCTAAATACAATTCCATTCTAATCTATTCTAAGAAACAGAAAAATATCCTTATCCAAATCCACAACCAATCCAAATCACTCTCCCATCCAAATATAATCCATAAACAATCCATATTCATTAAAATTTCAAACCAATTTCAATCTAAATCCAATCCCAACACAAATTCATTTCAATTCCCCCACAATTCCGATACAATTTCAATCTAAATCCATTTAAAAATTAACTCGAATCCAATCCAATCCATGTCCAAATCAAAACTAATTCAAATAAAAATCCAATGCCGATTTAATCCATTAAAACTCAAGGATGTATAATATCCAATCTAATCTAATCATACACGAAAATAATCCACAGCTAAATCCAATCCAGTTTCCAAATTCGATCCTAAACTAATCTAAATCCAATGCAAATCCATTCCCAATCCCATGCAAATCCAAATTAAAGCAAATCCAATGAAAATCCAATCCGAAACCATTCCTAATTAAATCCAATCCAATACAAGTTAAATCAAAATCCAGTTCAACATCCTATCCAAATCGAACATTAAATCATTTCGAATCAGTTCTAAATCCAATCGTAAACCATTGCAAACCAGCGACGCCGGTGGTGTAGTGGTAAGCGTGATTGACTCTCGCCCAAAAGGCCTGGGTTCACACCCAGTCGGCGCCGCCAGATTTTCGGAGGAATAAAATCTCTGATCACGTCTTCCTTCGGAAGGGAAGAAAAGCCATTGGTCCCCGGTTCATGATTTGAAAGGTCGATAGGTAGGGTCCAGGTGCAGGAGCTTCCTCCCTGGCGTCGGTAGCATCGGTACTCAGTACGGAAAACATGATCGACGGAAAACAAATAAAGGAAAAAAAGAAAAAAAAACATCCCAAAATCAATTCTTAATCTTAATTTAAATCTAACATAAAACCAATCTTTAGAAAGTATTAAATAAAATGCAAAACTTATACAAATACTATGCCAATATAATCAAAATCCGTTTTAAATCCGTTCCAAATCCAACACAAATCCCATCCAAATACAAACACACATGTAATCAAATTCTAAGCCAAATATATTCCAAATCCAACCCAATTCCAATCCAAATCCAATTCAAATCAAATACAAATGTAATCCAAATTAGGTCCAATCCAAATCCACTTAAAGTCAAATTCAATCCAATCCAAATTCAGTTAACTCTTCATTGCTCATGTCCGCCATTAGGTGGGGTGAATTTTAAGAGCTTGGACAAACAAAAATCTAATTTTTTAACAAGTGTTGTGCCAATGGTTGGAAATATACACTATTTAACATTTACATGAACATTTGGAATAAATTGGATACAAAATAATTCTGTTAAATAATGTTGAAAAATATGATCTATGATTTTCAGAAGAAAAAAATTATTTCTTTGAACTTCAAAACGAAAATTCCAAAATGGAGATTGCACAAATTTTCATGAAGTTAGGGCTAGACATTTTAAGAATTTGCTCATGAGTTCCAGCTTCAGCTGGTAAAGTTTGGTTAACATGGGCGCAATCGTTATTGAAAAAATTGAAACAATTAAAGATCATTGTTTTTTTTTTTACAAAAACTACTCTAGGCAAGCAAAAATGATGAAGATCGAAATAATTTTGATCATTATTTCATATTGCCCAGGCTTAAAAAAAGAATGCAGAATAAATACAAAGCACATTCATTCTATATCCTATTTAACTCCTGTTTCAATTGAATCAAAATCTAAATAAAATCAATCCAAAACAATTCCAAATCAAATTCTATTGCAATTCTTAATCCAGCCCAAGTCCAATCCAAAACCTATCCAAATCCAATTAATTTCAAATCAAATCCAAACATATTTTGAATAAAATCTAAATCCAATCCAAATCGAGTAAGATGTTATGCCTCAGAATATCCCGGCGGCGCCGACTGGGATTGAACAAAAGCCTGCTGGGGTGCCGCTATTATAACTTTAACGAACTTTACGAAGGATTAGAGAACTTCAGGGCGGTCCTATTTACTGCACGAAAATTTAGAGAATCTCAAAAAAATGAAAGGAACTTCTGAAAACATTTGGTAATTTACTTGAACAAACTGTAGGAACATAAGAAAAGTTCCCAGAGCTTCTGGAAATTTGCGGGTATTTCTGGGAAGCTTCAAGAATTTCAAGGCGGTTGCATTAGCTTCAGAAAAACTGCAGTAGAACTTCCAGGAAGTTGAGAAAACTTCAGAGATATTTAGAGAACTTGAGAAAATAGTAAAATATTTGAAGAAGTTCCAAAAAGCTCAGAGAAGCTATGTTTAGAGATCTTCAGGAAAGCGCAAATCTTAAAAGCAGTTCCACTAAATTTAGTGATATTCCGAGAATTTCTAGGCTTTAGGGGAAGTAAAAAGAACAGTAAGGGCATGTTCCAAAAATGTCAGGATAATGTTAATAACCTTTAAAAAGATCTCGAAATTTCAGATGAATGGCCGGAAAATTGCCGGTACGTTAAAGAAGTTTCGAGAACTTCGTGTCAACTTAGGGAGCTTCAGAGAAGCACCAAAAACTTCATGGATGGTCTTAGTTCCCAACGAACAATTTTAGCTGCAGATCAGCCTTATATAGCTATAAACAGGCTTATTCAGCATTTAGCCTGCTCAATGGTTTGTTAGGAAGCTTAGAAATATTTCAGATTTTCAAAAATGTTAGGTAAGCTTCAAGGAAGATCAAAGATCTTCAGGCAGTTCAATTAACTACCGGAAATAGTATAATCTTTTAAAAACTTCTGAGAAATTCAGGGAAGCCTAGAGAATGTCTGGAAAGTTTAGAGCACTTAATGGCAGTTCCAATAGCTTCAAGGAAGCATCGAACACATCAAGAAAGTCTAGTCTTCTGATAGGGGCGCATGGATTTGAGGTGGTTGGGGGGCACTCACATGAAAAATCACTTGGTAAAGAGATCTACATTTACCATGACAGCACTAGATGTTTATCGATGTGCCCAATCTTTAGATCTATAGTCCAACATTCAAACCATTTCCCCTATATGGAATAAATTGAAAACTAAGATTGTTTTTTTTAACCTATTATAAGATCTATTAAAGTATTTTAATTTCACCTTTTCGCGGTACGTTACGGGATGTAAGATCTACCGCCGATTCCTAGTACTAAGTACTTCAAACAAGGGGCACAGTATTTTCTAGTAATCAAAGGAACACATCTTGTCCTTGTTACTATTTATGCCTTGTAGTGACAAGTCCTTGGGTTGCCTGGACCGAGGATAATCTTGAATCAAGGAAAAAATGAGTTAGTTAGTCTTCATCTATGTGATTCCTAATATTCTATTCGTTGTTCCCTAGTTTGAAGTGGTTAAGACTAGTGTTCTGATGCATGGTCATTATCGGTGTTATTGCATATTAATTTTGTTGCTAAGGAATCCAAATTGACTACCAAAGGGGTGTTCTTTTGGAGGGTGCTCTCACTCTTCGAAGGGTATAAATAGCGGGACATTTCAAATAGACACCCCTATTCTGTATTTCGTTTCGAACGAAATTCTCATACAAAAAAATATTTTTTTGTATGAGAATTTCGTTCGAAACGAAATACAGAATAGGGGTGAGAATCTATTCTTGCGATGAAGGAAAAATAATAACTGTATCAAACCCGAATACTTCATCATTTCTTGATAGTGATGCACTATACTAATAGACATGCACTATACTAATAGATCGCAGTGGTTTTTATCTCCCGAACAGAGCAAAAAAAAACCTATCGCGTTTTGGTAGCAGGTAGCAAAATTGTGACAATGAAACTCTTAGATCGTACTTCCTAATGCCAATGGTCTTATCATTGCGATGGATAGAAAAATACGATAAGGAAAATAGGTTATTGTTGCTCAATTGCTATGGCATAATTGATAATGAAGAAAGCCTTGACCATATATAAGTTTTATCGCATACCTGCAATAGGCATAAAAATTCCACTTTTATGCACATTTAATGCTCAATAAGACATTACTCATGCTTTCTACAGTAATCCTTCCACTACTATCTCTGGGATGACCTTTGATCACTACAAACCGGACAAGTCCGAGATAGCGGTGCGCTTAGCCAGTCAACAGACAAGCTAGACGAGCACAGCTGAGCGTAATATGTAACCATCTACCTATACGGCTTAACTCGATTGCTGAGATGTACGTCCTCATCGTCATCATTGGTAGGCGCAGTCACACATACCAGCAAACGGTTGTTTACGCAAATTGAAGCAATCGAGACGAGAGTCCAAAGTCTAATGTTTATTTACTGTCGAGGAAGATTTTAAATTTGGCACCTACCAACCAAGGCATTTAAATTATTATATAGGTTATTCACACGCATTGATAACTTATAGATTACGATCTATATATGCATGTAAATACTCACGACACGCTGAATTGTTATGAAAGAATTGCGTGAAACCCCTTGTTCACATGGAACAAAGAGCCAATTCCACTGAACATATATAGGTAACGTGGAACTTACCTTCGAAGTTCGATGGCATTCAACCGCTGGCCATTGCGAATCGCAACTTGTCCCAATCGAAACATTTCCGCTTGTCGAAACTTTCGGTGACGTGCACAATTATTAATAAGCACAAATGAAAATTAAAAATAAATCACACTTCTTAAACCACTGCACAACGATAGGCAAAAATATTTTTCCTGCTTGCTAGTGAGATAGAGCACCACTAATCACTGAGTATATTTGTATGACCGAGTACGTATTTACTTTACGGGCTCTTTGACAAGAATGACGGATCGGCTTTGAAGTAATGTAGATTTTATGGAAGCTGAAGCTTTCCTGTGAAAGTTTGTCAACTATCGTGTTCAGCATCCGAGATCCCCTCGGCGCGGTGAAGCAGTTTTCGTTCATCTGATGCGTTACCGTTGTCGGTGGGCAATGAACACGGTGAACACATTGAAGCGATAATCATTTGATTGGACTGTTGAATTAATCCAATAGGATTATTTTATCCACGTTATCTTATTGGTAATTAATCACGGTTTCCCTGTTCAGGTATTTTTTTTTAAGTTTGCGTACTGTAAATCAGAAAAAAAAAACATACCGAACATTCAGTTATTCGTTACAAAACTACTACAGTAACTTTCGCTACAAACTACTGAATACACAAAAAAGTAAAATAAAGTGTGAATAGTAAAATAAAGTGTGAATAGTAAAATAAAGTGTGAATAGTAAAATAAAGTACCGAGTATTCAGTATTCATGATTTTTTACTGAACTGTCATGAAACAAAATTACAAATTGAGTGTATCAGATCTCGAAAAACTCTTCTAATAGTACGTTCAGACTACAGAGTTATAACATGTTATAGCGCAATCTTGATGGTGGTTTCTGTGTTGCAATTATTTGACAACCGTTATAACATGTTATAACGCTCCAGTCTGGACAGCGTTTTAAACGCTGTCCAGACTGGTGCGTTATAACCACATCTATGACACAAACGTCATTCCCATATACTTTGTGTGAAGCCGAAAAATCCTGGTTTTCTGGTTCGATTTTACGTCAACATTTGACAGCTGCTGCAAATATTCGCAAGCAAGCTCTGTTCATGCGTGATACGTTGTTAGGAAAGTTTGTCGCGAGCAGGGGGGAAGATTTTGTTTTACTCTTTGTTGTGCCATAGGCGCTGTTTACTGTGTTTAACAAGAATTATCGTTGCCTAAAAAAGAAGTGCATTATAATTGGATGTGGTAGCAGCATTACTACATTAGTAAAAACTTTTAAAGCGATATAACCATGCGGTACACATGAATGTAGCTTAAAAACGTGTTATCAACACTAACACCACCACCATCGGTGGCAGCTTCAGCGAGTACTAGTCTTGCCAGGGATGTGGTTATAACATGTTATAACGGTTGTCAAATAATTGCAACACAGAAACCACCATCAAGATAGCGCTATAACATGTTATAACTCTGTAGTCTGAACGTATACTATAATACCAACAATCAATACGAAACTAACGATTTTAAATTGGTTCACCACTTTAGTAGCCTATTGGTCCCAAGCAAACGATTAACGTACCCTATTCTAGTTGAAATTCTAGTACTACGCAATGTTTGTTTTGATTCGCTATGAAAGTTTGACAGATAAAATGAGGGGTTATTGGTTTTTCCTATGTTTCGAGGGGTGCATCGATTAGCTTGGGACCGAAGAGAGTACCAGAGCTGAGCCAAAAAGTTGAGCACGTTATTTCGGGACCTTCTAGTCTTAGAGTTACCTCTATGATAATACCCCGTACACTCAAAAATATTACAAAACGAATATAGATTAAATTTTATGGTTATTCAAAATGTAGACATTGGTTCGATTAAAATTTTCTTCAAAATTATACTAAGTCCGAATAACGGAGTGGAATTCGATCAGTGTTTACTAAAATGTTAGAAAATGGCAAAATCAAACTTGATGGCGCTCGTAGTCGTTTTTCAGTTTGTATTCATTTAGTTGTTGGTATTATTTCGTGTCGCTGTCGTGCGTTTGGTGTTATAAATGCAATTAAAATACACGTGTTTGGAAAGCTTGGCTCGTGTGCCAGGAGAGATAAACCGCTTGACCGACAGTCACAACCCGTCCGGGAAGAAATCCGTCACGTCACAACTCGTCCGGAAAAAGAACATCTGGATTCTCTTCGGAGCTTCGTGCTGGTGCAGAGCTTCGTCCCGGCGGATTTCTACTGCGCATATGATCAGCTAGGCAGCTAGACTGCGTGATTACGAGTTCACCCTAATGAACGTCGAAATTGTACGTTTTTTAAATAATATTCATAAAAAATAAAATGATTAAAAAACCTTCCTGAAACAATTTTTATATTTTATTTGAAAACAAGAATATTTACCATAAACAAAATAAAAAAGCGAAAAATACATTCTCTCGAATAAACCTTATCTATGTATTGTAAGTATATTTCGATTTTATACTATGGCTCGCATAAACCATTTTTATACTAAGTTTGCATTCTCCCCCTTTATACCGACGTTTGCGTCGGTACGGAGAGTTGTGATTTTGCGTAACTTTTGTACTATTTAGATTTCAATCTTTTTTGAGTGTATAGACTACGGCTTATATCATTTAATATAGGCTATCTTGCAAGGAGCACTCATACATCTAATTTTCACTCGAAATAGTATAATACATAATATCTAACATTTGAAATGGGCCTATGCCCAAAACGTAAACAAACCAAAAATCCATTTAAAGTTTTTCCGCAACTATTCACTTCATGTTTAAGAAAACTGAAGTATTTTAGGCATTCATATTGTTCACAATAAGAATAGTAGCTGTATCTCAGTATACAACATCCAAAATATGCGAAAAGCTTTCAAAAATATAAGAAAATCGATAACAATTTAATTTAATAAATTAATAAGCCTTTTCGTGACTCTTTCAATGGATAGGCCCTTTTTGTTTAGCCGTTGTACTTGTCATCAGAAACGGTACGCCCTTTGCTAAGCCTTTTTGCAACGTCAAATAAATTAAAAACAAATCATCGGCCCTGTCTCAAGCAGTAGGGCCTAGCTTTGGTTTGAAATCTTTCAATAATCGGCTCTTCTACGTCACTAGGCTTATCAATGAAATGAAATAAATGAATGGTTGGCCGTTTTAGCGTGCGGGCCTATTAATGAATCGAAAAATTCGTTGATCGGCCGTTTAGAAAATCGAGTTATTTTTAATGATTTTTCTCGATTATGCGGAACATTCCTACACGATTAGTAGTTATCAAGCGGTGCTAAATAATGGTATCAAAACCCGATTTGTTTACGTTTTGGACATAGGCCCATTTCAAATGTTACTCGAGAATATCAGCTATAGTCTGATACCCCGTACAGACTATAGTCCTCTCCAGGTGGGTTCGTATTGGTGCGATTTGCGTGTGTTAGTGAGATGAATTTTTTTTGTTAGCTGTGAGAAATTTTTTGTTTGCTGTAAGAATTGCCATTCTAAAGTAAAAATAAACAACAAAACGAAAACAAACCCTACGCTTGCACGGTAACAGTCAAATACCCTTTTATGAGTAAAAGTTAACCCATTTTTAATAAAAGTGGCTTTACTCATTTATGACTTATTTTAACAACAATGAGTTTCTGCTAACAGTAGCTAACAGTTACTACTTATTTGGCATAATAAATTACTCATTAATTAGTAGTACCACTCTTATTGACAACGGGTTAACTTTTACTCATAAATGGGTGTTTGATTAGTACCGTGTACATGGAAGTATACGCTAGTGTGTGTAAAATTATATTATTAGTGTAGTGTTCGTGAGATCCTGTTTGGAAAACTCAATGGCTTATATCATGTAATATAGGCTGTCTTGCAATGAGCACTCATACATCTAGTTTTCAGTGGAAATCCTATGTATGAGTGCTCATTGCAAGGCAGCAGTGTTGGAAAAGTTCGCGATATTTCTCGAAGATCACCAAGGGAAAAGTTCGTGTGTCATAGTGATTTTTCGCGAACTTTTCCATCACTGCAAGGCAGTCTATATTACATGATATAATCCATAGCCTGTACGGGGTATGAACCTACAAACTTAATTTTTTTCGCCGAGATTCCAACAGCCGAGCGATTCTGCAATTTATTTTGCTGAGATTCAGTAAAACAATTGCCGAGCCTCAGCTAACAAATAACATTTTGCTGAGATATCAGCTAACAAACAGATATTTTGCAGAGATATCAGGAAAATCAAATGCCGAGGTAATCGGCTGTTGGAGATTTTACCGAGCTAGATTAAGTGTGTATATACTGTATACGTATATACTATAAAACATTATTTACATCTCTGTTCTACCCATAATCAAGTGAACAACGGGTGCGATCTTTCTATAGTTATTAAACAAATTAGCCGTATTCCTGGCAAACTTGTTCATTGATTTTATTTCATCAATTAAGTTATTCAATGCAAAGTCAGCGTGAAAAGTCCTTTTAATGTATCATATCGTCCGGCCATTTCCACAGAGATGGCGCTGTTCCGCTGGTTGGAAGTGATAAAAATCCCCATATAGAATTTGAGAGAAGTGGAAATAATTCACTTTCGGTGCATATTCAGGTCAAAAAAAGTGAACAACCTAAATAAATAAGTCAGGAACTCTGTCGTTTAGTTTTTTCCCGGAAATTATTGTTAAACAAACTACAATTAAATAGAAATGATTTTTCCCCATACAGTTTTACCTGCTTTACTACCAGTCCCCAGATAACCGAAAAATTCAAATTTGAGAGAGAAAACTTTCTCTCACGACCTCAATCTATCAAGATGGCATGTATTTTGATGACACTCGATTTGTGATTTCCCTTTCACATATTACAAAATATTTTTTTTTTTATTATTTATATCTTTATTAAGGAGATTTTCAGCCGTTGGCTGGCTCGTCTCCGCTCTTATTACAAAATAGAGTACCTGCCACTACAAAACATGTCTGGTACCTCTATATATGCATCTAGATTAACATTCGAAATCCCTCCTTTTTTACATGTTCTGCACAAAAGATACTTTCTGCCCCGCCCCATTCATAAAATTTGGCAGAAAATCCTGGCTACCAGACATGTTTTGTAGTATCAGCCACTCTATGTTGTAGTCTGTGAGAGGGAAATCCCAAATAGAGTGTCATCAAAATACATGGCATGTTGAGAAATTGAACTAGTGAGAGCAAAATTTCTCTTTCAAATTTGAACTTTTTGGCTTTGGTAGTAAAGCAGGTAACACTGTATGGGGAAAAATAATTTTTATTT